CACACCGTTTTGTTACCAACCTCATCTTCGCCTAAAGGAAGGAGAAATAGGAAGACCACCATTCCTCATTATTTCTGGCACCATAGCTGCAGAAGCTGTGGACAAAAACCAAGATTTCTAATTGATCTAAACCACTTATTATATTCAATATTTTTTAAAACTTGAAATATTGGCAAAGCCCTGGACATGGTGCCAGCTTCTTCTGGACATATCTAATTCCAGAAATGCCATCTTCTGCTAAATCAAATTATGCCTGAAAATCAAGCATCTGTTTCACATGTTAGTTGTGTTATCTTAATATTATGTCAATTTAGTATATACTTAAGTGCTATGGATCACTTTGGAAATGATGAATCTTAGCAGTTATCATTTTTTTCTGACCACATTAAAATATAAAGCCATAAACTCATATTTAGCTTTTAAACAAAACTTTGGAAAGACCCTAGATATTTTTACCATTGAATGTTTTCTGTCTCAGCCAAAAAAAAAAATTTTTTTTTTTTTCAAATAAACATTTTCGGGGCGTGGTGGCACATGCCTGTAATCCTAGCACTTTGAGAGGCTGAGGCAGGAGGATCAGAGCAGCCTGGACAACATGGCAAAACCCTGTCTCTACAAAATATTCAAAAAATTTAGCCAGGTGTGGTAGTGTGTGCCTGTAGTCCCAGCTACTCAGGAGGCTGAGGCAGGAGGATGACCTGAACCCCAGGAGGTCAAGGTTGCAGTGAGCTGAGATAACGCTACTGCACTCCAGCCTGGGCAACAGTGAGACACTGTCTGAAAAATAAAATAAATAAGCTTCTACTTTGTAATAGTTTAAGATTTATAGAAAGTTTCAAAGATAAGGCAGAGAGTTTTTATATCCACTCAGCCAATTTTTCCTGCGTTGGCATCTTACAGTCCTAAGGTACATCTGTTCATGCTACGAAACCAGCACATTACTATTAACTCAACTGAAGACTTTTCAATCAACTACTTTTGATTTTCTGTTTGATCCTTATAGAAAATAATTTTCAACAACTATCCGTATTAAAACTAAGTTTAGCTAAATCGTTTGCACTCATCTCAGAAAGCTTCAACATTCCCCCGCTTCAAAGGGGAAAGATTTAGTACATGGTTAAAAAGTTATTCACTGCGAGGCCAGGCACAGTGGCTCATGCCTGTAATCCCAGCACTTTGGGAGACCGAGCAGGGCAGATCACTTGAGGTCAGGAGTTCAAGACCAGCCTGGCCAACATAGTGAAACCCTGTCTTTAATAAAAATACACAAATTAGCCAGGCATGGTGTTGGACACCTGTAGTCCCAGCTACTTGGAAGGCTGAGGCAGGAGAATCGCTTGAACCCAGGAGGCAGAGGTTGCAGTGAACCGAGATCATGCCAACTGCACTCCAGCCCCGGTGACAGAACGAGACTTTGTCTCAAAAAAAAAAAAAAAGTTATTCACTGCTAAAAACTTGAAAATAGTACTTATCATCAGCCCATTTCTTCAAGGGAAGAACAATAAAGGTGGTATTTCCATAATCGCAGCATGTTTAAACCTACTGATATCTATGTAGGTTGCCTTACTTTGTCGTTTTCTCTGTCTGATCCCACGCACGTAGAGTAGAACTCTTCTCAGCTCTGCCTGCAACACCTCTTCTGTATAAAGCCTCAGGAGGACCTAGTTTCTGCTGGGAAGCAGCCTGCTGACCCCATCTTGCTGTGGCTTAGAGCATCGCTGGGCCACTCTGTGTATGTGCCCAGATGAAATGAGATATGGCTTTGCACTGAGTGAGCCTCCCACCAGCTGGATTCCTCATGGGGCTTTCAGCTCAGTTCTAATGAGAAAGCTCTGCTGTCTCCACCTTCTGGGAGAGAGCTAACAGAAACAACTAGAGAAATGTTAAGTATGGCCTCTTCAGACTGTGACTCCAGTTCTGTGTGCCAAACCATCTGGGCTGGAGGAGGCAGTGGATGTCCTCTGCTGATGGTCATCTTTCCTCCCCTTTCCCCAGAAGGATTTGGGGCTGTGTGCCCAGGAAGACTGGGCTGCCATCTGCATTCCAGCACCCTCTGCCCCTGCCGTGTGTCTTGGTTTTCTCCAAATCAAATTGGCCATGTGGAGTCTGGAGTTTTCGTTTCCATGCTACCTCTGCGTGATTGCCACTATGGGTGGTGATGCCGGTGGTGAAAGAATCCAATTAGAATATGTAAAAGTTGTTTTGTAATGGACCAGGGCTCAGGGGCTTTTGGAGCTACGGCCTGCTCCTAATTGGGGGTATGACTTCTCAGGGCCCTAGTGACTCCACCGGGATACGCAGTAACCTGCAGGGGATTCTATCCTTGTGGGATGAAGATAAGTCTCCATTTGCCTGGTCACAGCGTTGCTTTTTGTTTTTCTTCCTATCTCCTGAATCCTTCCCTACTTGACACAAGGGAGAATCTGCCTGTGTGCCTGCCTGCCCAAAGATGCAAGCAACTATAGAGAGAGAATTCTGGAGGTTTACAATGAGGCTGGAGGAAGCACAGAGGAAGCTGACGGGTGTATTCCCTACTAGGGCCAGGCTTGAGACCTAAGGCCCACTGTTTCAGTTTCCTGTCCTCTTTCATCAGAAAAACCTGACCTACAGAATAAGGGGCACCCCTAAGGTCTCTCAGCTAATAAGTGTCGGGTCAGTCACTTCATCGTCTTTACCAACGTCATCACAACAGAGACTGACATTCAAAAGGGCTTGCTATGTACCAGGCGTCATGCTAAACCTTTTGTATATATTATTTAATCCTCTCAAGAGCCCTATGAATTAGTGACTGTGTTAATTCTATGTTTCCAATGAGGAAACTGAGGCATAGAAAGTCTAAAAGCCCTCAGCTAGTAAATGGGTGAACTGGGATTTGGATACAGCTTGGCTCTCGGGGTTACTCTTGTAACCTCTGTGCTCTAATTTTATGTGTAAAGCAACTGAATACTTTTCTCTCTACTCAAGAAAAAGTTTTATAATAATTTCTTACGTTGATAGCATATTACTAGTCATGGTTTTTTATTGAAATCTCTGTTTCTCTGTTCCTGAGCTGCTAGGATAGATATCATTCTATCATCTAGTCAGACTTTCTCTAGGTAATGAATTCAATTTAGTGTGAGTCACCTTATATATGAAATGTTTTGATAAGTTCGCAATTTGAAGACTGACACTTCTCTTTATCTTTTATTATTCCAAGAGCTTCTGAGAGCTGAATCATGTGATCTCATTCAGACCTAAAGCCAGGTACTCCTCGTGCTGTGCGGAATCATTGGCCAAGTCCGGGCTGCTGTATCCCAGCAGGGCCTCCAGACAGCTGCACCTCCATTCCCCTGTTCATACAGGACGCTAACCTTTGGAACCTTCTAATTAGTGTGGATGAGTTATTTTCAACAAAAGAAAGAGAGTATGGGTCAAGAGAGGTACAAACCTGCTTTAGTTTCTACCCACACTAGAACAGCATATGTTCTGGGAAAGCTTTCAGATCACTATGGATGTTGGAGGTGGAGCTTAATGGAAGGGAGTATAAATCTGTACCAAATGTTCAATTTTTTTTAAAAAAAAGCTTGAGCTGGGTGTGGTGATTCATTCCTGTAATCCCAGCATTTTGGGAGGATCACTTGAGACCAGGAGTTGAAGACCAGCTTGGGCAACATAGCATGACCCCGCCACTATAGGAAATAAATAAATAAATAAAAAGTGACTCAGGCGTGATGACTTGGGTCTGTAGCGCCAGCTAATCGAGAGGCTGAGGTGGAACGATTTCTTCAGGCCACGAGTCATCAAGCCTGCAGCAAGCCATGGTTGTGCCACTGCATTGCAGTCTGGGTGACAGCGTGAGATACTGTCTCTAAAAAAAAGTCTTTAACTTCATGGGTTATTAATTCTACAAACTGGGAGCAAATTTAATTATAGAATAATATTACCTCAATTTTACATGGAACATGTACATATGGTTCCACACTGAATACAGTTCTACAATGGAACTATACATGGAGTTTTACAGTGGAGTTCTAAGCTAATCCTGGGGCAGAATGCTCCATAGATAAGTAAAAATCCAAAACATTATTGCAAAATTTACCCTGTGTTTGGTTTGCTTCTTTACTGCTGTTTTATATTTTTAATGTTTAGGACTACTTTTATACTTCTCTTTTGCTTATAATACTCCATGGGGTAGAAAAACATGTAATTATGACTTCAACAATGCTTATATATATAATTATTATAATGAGTTATTTCTACAACCATTGTCAATAAACATCTGTCATTATGTCTGAGTCACTGAGTTAACTTGCTACATAATTTATTTCATATTATAGTTAGATATATTTTATTTATATATATATATATGTACACATTATATATCTAACTATAATTTGAAAATATATTACCTAGATATATTTTCAGAGCATATTCGGTAATGAGACTAGAAATTAGAAACGATTTGCTCTGGAAGCTCAGCTATTAAAGGACATCCTGGCCTTGAACTAAAAACTCTTACACATCCTTCTCTTCCCATTTTCTGCAATGGACATAGCTCTCCCTTTTCTCAAAAAGGGAGAAAATATCCTTTTGTGTATTTTGCTACAGAACATACCTGAGTGTGAATTCTAACTTCACTGTTTATTAGCTCTATGATCGATTTATGTTTTTTTACACCTAATTATACTATCAGCAAATAGAAGATAATAGTAGATTAACAATAGCTAATCAAGTTTTGAGACAATCAAGTGAGATTGTATGAAAAGCACTTATCTGAGTTCCTGGCACTTAGACATTAAATAATTACTTCCCTCCCTTGTGTATGAAGGGGAAAGGCCCAAATGATGGTTAGAGCGCCCCGTCCTCTGGCTCAGCAGCTGAGTGATAAGATAATCAACGCTAGATTCCTTAGACATGACCTTATCCCGCTTTCTGAGATGATTAGAAAACATTGAATTTTCTGCTGATTTGTGTGAAGCCACATGGTAAGACAGTGCTAATTATGATTTTTACCCACGCAGGTCAGAAGTTATGTCAAGAAAGCACTTGCCGAAGGTGCCCAAATCCGGTGCGGTGAGGGGGTGGATAAGTTGAGCCTCCCCGCCAGGAACCAGGCAGGCTACTTTATGCTTCCCACGGTAATAACAGACATTAAGGATGAATCCTGCTGCATGACGGAAGAGATATTTGGTCCAGTGATGTGTGTCGTCCCTTTTGATAGTGAAGAGGAGGTGATTGAAAGAGCTAACAGCGTCAAGTATGGGCTGGCGGCTACGGTGTGGTCCGGCAACGTGGGGCGCGTCCACCGGGTGGCTAAGAAGCTGCAGGCCGGCTTGGTCTGGACCAACTGCTGGCTCATCAGGGAGCTGAACCTTCCTTTTGGAGGGATGAAGAGTTCTGGAATAGGTAGAGAGGGAGCCAAGGACTCTTATGACTTTTTCACTGAGATCAAAACCATCACCATTAAGCACTGATCTTCGCTAACGGCGGAGCTTCTGTGGCCAATGCCTGGCTGCAGAGATCAGTTGCTCAGTGTGGTGAATGAAAATCATGGCACTAATTCCAGCTATGCCTTGACGTGGCAGAAGGTTATCTCCAGCTTATCTTCTGTTCTTAGTTGGTAATTTTACCCCCTAGTGAAGAGATACTGTCTATTTTCAATGTGGACTCAGAAGAAAAGACTTCTAAATAGGAAGACAGCACAAAGATACCAAACAGCTGCCAGGCTCCTCCCAGGTTATGTTTTCATAGCGTTTCTTTCATCATCTTCATTGAACTCTTGGGAATCTCCAGATAATCAGATTATTTCATTTGCAAGTATATGGTAAATTAAAAACAAATCTAGGGCTGGGCGCGGTGGCTCACGCCTGTAATCCCAGCACTTTGGGAGGCCGAGGCGGGTGGATCGCGAGATCAGGAGATTGAGACCATCCTGGTCAACATGGTGAAACCCCGTCTCTACTAGAAATACAAAAAATTAGCTGGGTATGGTGGTGCGTGCCTGTAATCCCAGCTACTCGGGAGGCTGAGGCAGGAGAATTGCTTGAACCCAGGAGGCAGAGGTTGCGGTGAGCTGAGATCGTGCCATTGCACTCCAGCCTGGGTAACAAGAGCAAAACTCCGTCTCAAAAAAAACAAAACAAAACAAAACAAAAAAACAAAACAAACAAACAAAAACAAAAAACAAATCTATAGTCAGGTGCAGGGCCTCATGCCTATAATCCCAGCACTTTGGGAGGCCAAGGCGGGTGGATCACTTGAGTCCAGGAGTTTGAGACAAGCCTAGGCAACATGGTGAAATCCTGTGTTTACCAAAAATTTAAAAATTAGCTGGGTATGGTGCCCTCTGCCTATAGCCCCAGCTACTTGGGAGGCTGAGGTGGGAGGATCACTTGAGCCCAGGAGGTTGAGGCTGCAGTTAGCCATGGTCATGCCACTGTGCTCCAGCCTGGGGGACAGAGTGAGAGCTTGTCTTAAAAAAATGCTACAAAGCCAAAGCGAAAAGAAACAAAGGGCCATAATTAGCTATCTTTGGAGAGATTATGGAGATGTTCTGCTTGTCTATTAGCCACTAGCATAACTAATTGATCATTGATTGTACTTCATTATGTAAGGGGGAAGTGAATGTCTGGAGTTTGTTAGGGGAAGCCTATGTGGTAAGCTCTACTAACTATATCTGTACAAGGATGAAGAAAAACAAAATAACTACCACTTTTGGAGGAGACTTGAAACAAGAAGAGGACATAGTTTAATCTAATCCTACGGTCGAGTCTAATCAATTCCATTGCTTGGCATCTAATGAGGCTTACAACTTACTAACCCCAAAAGAAGCAATAAACGTTAGCAATTTTAGTAACCAGTATGGCCCGTATCTTATTTTTGAATGAGTTCCTCCTTATCTCCATCCTCTTGAGAGTATGGACGTTTTACTGAGTAATAAAGATTTCAAATGCTGCCTTTTTTTTGGATCTCCAGATGATCACAGGAGAAAACTGAGGTTTACAGATGTTGAGCAACATACCCAAGGTCACACACATGGTATGGGTAGAGGTAGGGTTTGAACTCAGGACTTTCAGGCTCCAAAACCGAGGATCTCTCACTGCCTTCCACTTGCCTTGGCTGGTGCTCAAGAAGCAGTGAATTACCTGTGGTTCCTGGGACACATTGTGTTGAGTCTCCCCTTCAAGTCTCCTTCCTGTTTTGCCTCCCCGGTCCTCTCTCCTACCCAACTCCACTTCAGGGCCCTTCCTCAGTGGCCATGCAATTCGGGAGCCCCTCCAGCAGGGGCCGTCCTACGCTGATGGGAGTGATCTGTTTGCATGTCTGTCTCCATAACTGGACAGGAGTGCTGTAGGCCAAGGCTGCTGGTGCTGCACTTTGAAGAGTCTCAATTCATAGCACAGTGCCTGGCATACAGCAGGTGCTCAAAGCAAGTTCTGAGAGGGGAAGAAAATCTTCCTGATGCTCTGGGGTATTTGTTCCATGGTTTGTGTTTGTGTGGTTGGGGGTGATGATAGGGGAAGACCGAGCTTTCTAATTTTGGTTAGGATTTCAGAAACATTGGCTTGCTTGCAGATGCTGAGAAATAAATGCCAGCCCCTTTCAGATAAAGTGATGGTGTTGGATTATATCTGGCTCTAAATTCTACCTTCCTTTCTCCTTTCCTCGCCTCTTCTCTTCCTCAGCCGAGTCCCCTTAACCTTAATCACTTTAGTGCAGAGGAACATCAGCAGGAGGAATTTCAGAAACTTAAGTCTCTAGGAATTTGCATCTTTACTCTTGTAAATGGTCTGGCCGAAGCTTATCCTTATTCCTGAGACCCAAGCCATATCTTGATTCTAAATTCTAGTGACTGACTCCTTGCTCCCTGTGCCTGGACAGCGACCTCCCACCCGCTTGTTTTTGCCCAGGAGACTGTCTTCCCTAGGGCTCGGAGCAGCTCTGCTCTTGTAGGTTCCTGTCTTGACCCTGGGTCCTGCCTGCGGAGGGGCCTGCTTCCAGCTGACAGACATCCTGGATGCCATTTCCCTACTTCTGGGTCTTTCCGATCTCTAAAACTCCTACTGGGCTCACAAGGCAGCCTCATTAATGCATTTTCCTGCAGCCAGCGCTCTTCTATCTCTCAGTTGTTATAACCGTTGTCAGAGTCTTAGCACCTTAGCTAGAACTTTCCTAGTTTTGTTCCAGCCTCTTCAAGTGAGTGAGTACGGATCCAAGACTGTCCTCCTCCCGGGCCATCCATGCAGTCTCAGGTCCCCACAGCAGCTGAGGTGCCGCTCCGTTCTGTGCCTACACTGCGGCAGAGCCCCAAGGCACTGGTGAATCCTGGCTTGGGGCTTCCACACCCCTGCTGTACTGTGCTCAGAACTGATGATAGAATTGGGGTGAGGGTGTCCACAGGGGCTTTATTTTTAAGCTAATTGATGTGCCCATAAGTGTTTCCTATATTATTTCATAAGTCAGAATTATTCATATACCAAAAAAGGAAAGTGGATCATATTGAAGGGATAGCCAGGAACAGGCTGAGAGAAGGTAGGAGAGACCCCTTCTGGCAGAGTGCAGAGGTCCCAAGCTTGAGGCACAAGGATGAACAGCAGTGGAGGAGCAGTGCTTCTTAGATGTGGATGTGCTCCTGAATCACCAAGGACTCTGTTAAAATGCAGATTTGGATTCAGTAGTTCTGTGGTGAGACCTGAGATTGCACTTGGAGTGTCGAGGAATTAGAAGACACGGATTAGAAGACAGGTGCCTCATACCTGTAATCTCAGCACTTTGGGAGGCCGAGGCGGGTGAATCATTTGAGGTTGGGAGTTCGAGACCAGCCTGACCAACATGGAGGAACCACATCTCTACTAAAAATACAAAATGAGCTGGGCGTGGTGGCACATACCTGTGGCCCTAGCTACTGGGGAGGCTGAGACAGGAGAATCGCTTGAACTCAGGAGGCAGAAGTTGCAGTAAGCCGATATCACACAATTGCACACCAGCCTGCAGAATAAGAGTAAAACTCCATCTCAAAAAAAAAAAAAAAAAAAGGAAAAGAAAAGAAAAGAGAAGACAGGTGCTTCCTCTAGGTTTCAGGGGCAGCTGGCTACACTTGCTCCCTACTGGAGACACTAGAGTAGATGAACTTCCCAGGAATGCCTCTAATGAGGCTCTAGGCACAAAACCTGAGATAGCTCAGGACCTTCTGTGCAACGCTGGGGAGAGGAAGGGAGAGGCAGTCCCACCTTGGAGTGAGACGCGCTGCAGAATTTCACCAACCACGGCAAAGTCCTCCTCACTGGTAGGTAGTTAATGAGGGTGCAAGCTGAACTCTCCACATGTCTTAGAAAGAAGCTTCTTTTCTTCAGTAAATGGGGATTTAGTCCCCCATTCAGCAATGGGCCTTATGGGTAAACTGTTTTTCCAAACTGCAAAAAATAACTTTGTCAATTACCCACGCTAATCAACAATATAGTTTTGGTATTTTTGTCATTTTTTTTTTTGTTGTTGTTGTTTGTGTGTTTGTTTGTTTTGAGTCAGAGTTTTGTTCTGTCACCCAGGCTGGAGTTCAGTGGCATAATTTGACTCACTGCAGCCTCCACCTCCTGGGTTCAAGCCATTATTTAGCCTCAGCCTCCCGAGAAGCTAGGATTACAGGCACCCACCACCACACCTGGATAATTATTGTATTTTTATTAGAGATGGGGTTTCATCATGTTGGCCAGGCTGATCTTGAACTCCTGACCTTAAATGATCCACCTACCTTGGCCTCCCAAAGTGTTGGGATTACAGGCATTCATCCCAGTATTACCACACCCAGCCAACAACAATATCGTTGTTATTAAAAAAATTACTGGCCAGGGCTGGGCGTGGTAGCTCAGGCCTGTAATCCAAAGCAGATCATGAGGTCAGGAGATCGAGACCATCGTGGCCAACATAGTGAAACCCTGCCTCTACTAAAAATACAAAACTAGCCAGGGGTGGTGGCGTGTGCTTGTAGTCCCAGCTACCCGGGGGCACTGAGGCAGAATTGCTTGAACCAGGGAGTAGGAGGTTGCAGTGAACCGAGAATGCACCACTACATTCCAGCCTGAAGACAGAGCGAAACTCCATCTCAAAAAAAAGAAAAAAAAAATTACTGGCCAGGCACAGTGGCTTATGCCTGTAATCCCAGCACTTTGGGAGGCTGAGGTGGGTGGATCACCTGCAGTCAGGAGTTTGAGACCAGCCTGTGCAAATGGTGAAACCCCATCTCTACTGAAAATACAAAAATTAGCTAAGTGTGGTGGCACACACTTGTAATCCCAGCTACTTGGGAGGCTGAGGCAGGAGAATTGCTTAAGCCTGGGAGGCAGAGGTTACAGTGAGTGAAGATCATGACACTGCACTCCAGCCTGGTTGGGAGAGTGAAACTCTATCTCAAAGAAAAAAAAAATTACCAAGCAACCAAGGATTATCAAATTTTTGGTAAAAGAAAAATATTGAGATGTGCGAAACAGCAACTGATTGAGGTAGAAACAGATACAAGAAGGAGTGCAGAAACTAAAAAGTCGAATGAATCCCCTCAGAAAGATGTGAGGGGATAGCACATTTATAAATAAGAACAAGCTACTATGAAAAAGGAGCAAGCAAACAACACAAAAGAGGCCATGAGAAATTAACCATTGATTCTCCAAATAAATTTTAAATATTTATAGAATTGAATCATAATATAG